GTTTTAACACTTTGGTTGGCACAGAGTCTCTAAGTTAAGAAACTTAAAAGCTAAATAGGAGAGATTATGCCGTCTCATGAATAACAAATGAAGTGTGACAGGGAAGCACATTATCTTTTAAATTGCACATAACTAATTTGTTAATTACAGTCAGAAACAATGTTGCTACCTTGGTTTAAAATCCCCAAATAAATCTGTGATTTGCAGCCAAAGTTTAATATGTGACATTGGTAAATATACCACTGGGAAGAAAGATCTGCAGGATTTGGCCCAGAATTTAAGCCTCTCATCCTGCCTGGAATAATTGTTAGCAATTATACCTATGTTAACACCTAGGGTCCATCCCAGAAGAGTTTACCATTGTGCTAAGTGTGGTAAGAAGAAATGGCCTTTCCACACGCAGTTTAGAATCTGATATAGGTAAAACCCAACACAGGTATAATCTGAAATAATTTTAAAATAAAAAGATGGAAACTTTAGGGGAAGAAATAGTGGTATTGTCCTTAGATGCAAAAGAAGCAAAATGCTTTCTAACTTCAAAATATGCTGTGTAAAGCACATTGATCTCAGTTTTATATCAGCTGCAGAGTTGGGGAAGTCAACATAAGGGCACCTGACCTTTCTCAACTTTCTCCTAGCTCATGGAACTGCATGGAGGGACAGGTTTGCAGGCAGCATTACAGTGTTTTAATGAATTTAACCTGATTAATGAAAATAAAGATACCTAAAGACCTCCTAATGACTCTAAAGTTCTATATATTTCTGTGTTGATACAACACTGAAGAATACACTGAGAAATTTTCAATTACTTCTTTACTCTTCTTTTACTGTAACTTTGTTCTTATCACCCTAAGCAAAGACTATTCATTCTTATAGCGACCTCATTCCTCAACTAAGTCATCCCTGAGTTTGATAGGTAATTTCTAAAGGAAATACTGAGTTTTTCTCACTGAGTGTTGAGCTATGTATTTATTTCACAGACTTCTCTCTGTTGGGAGTCAGACTGTGAATGAGTAATACAAAACCAGCCGCAGTATAAGAAAAGTATTGCATCTTGTCATGTGCTAATTTGGGAGGGGAATCATGACTGTTTTTATTTGAGATTCCTATGATTCTACTTTTTCAATTTCACAACCTAATGAAACAATCTTTCTGTTATATTTTCATATAGAATAATCAGTTCCTCTAGTCCTTTCATGCTTTCTCTCCTGCTGTCCTCCTTTGCCATAGGAAAAACTTCCAGAAAGCATCTGCAAAATATTCATATTTACCATGTAAAATTTCTGCATCAAGATGCCTTAAATGCTTTGACCTTTGTTAGTAAATTGGTGCACAGTAACTACAGCTTAATACTGTAATAGCTGCCCTGCTGTTGTAGAATCTGTTGTGTAATGTTTGTATTGTCATTTTTAAAACAATTAATTCAGTGGGATTAGTTATATTGCCTAACTTTAAATCTACTATTTTTTCTATATGACTGTATATAGGCATATTTAGTAAATATTGTAGCATAATTTATTAAAATTTATTAAAATATTGTAGCATAATTTAGAGGGTTTTAAATAATTAAATAGAAGAGAAAGATGAAAAAAGTATTTGATACTTCCAAAATTTTGAAGTATAGAAATCTTAAATGAATAAAATTATGTGTGCATCACTACATTGCATATTTCTACAATACGTTCGCATAAAACATAGCAAGACCTGTACTGTGAAGGTCTGATTTTATTTTGAACAGTGTTGTGATAAGGAGGATATTTACTCTTTCAGCTAAATAGCAAAATATAGGTTGGAATCAGATGGTTATTGCCTTCCCAAATAATGATGGGAGGAGATCAATGTTACTTTTCATACTAGAAAAATGTGTAAATAATTTCCACAATGGTGGAGACAGCAAAATCTCCATGGACTGTCTCATACAGCAACATTTCCTTAATAAGTTGTTTTTGCAAAAAAAAAGCAACACCAAAGCCAAAGTTCAAAAACGAGTCATGGCTGTGAGAGATAGGGACTGCTATAGATACTTTTCTCCCCATGATTTTCCAGGACAGTCATACGAGTTGCGTCTCTTAAGGAAGCTGTTCTGTATATGCGTTTGACTGCTTATCACATCCCTCCCTGGTTCTTTACCAGTTGTCTATCCTTCTTGAGATGGGTCGTGCTGCTTTAGGTGAGTACAGATGTTACTTTGATAAACCTACTGGCCCAGTTTGTTAGTGTGAAGTTTCATAATTTCTACCCTTTCAATCCTCCTTGGATAATATTCTCCCCTTCAAGACTACAGACCAATGCTTTTATGATCTACCTACTGAAGAATCATGTTGAAAGCAGGAGGCTGGGAAAGAAAATCTTATTTTGACCTTCCCTATTGATTTATTTCTCTCACACATACAACATGTACACATGTGAATATGAATACACATGTTCATATGTGAATACACACATATGAATACACACAACCTGCAGTGATCATCAACATTCAGTCTCAGTGCCTGCATAAACTAAGGAGTCTGATGTTCTGCAATTCCAGTGTTCAGTAAACTGAAAGAAACATTTTTTTTTTTTTTTGGATTAAGGAAAACCCCCAGGAAGATTAGATTTGTTCATTACAGGAGATAATCGCCACAAAACTCCCACAGATTCCAAAGCTGTTTAGAATTTTTCTTTAAAACAATTTATTTTCTGTCATGGAATAAATGAATGTGAATGTATGTTTAATTGTGCTTACTGATTTAATTGAAAAGTGAAAATAAGTTCATTTGGTATGCTAGCCCCTACAAGTGAACTAATGAAAGCAAAATTCTATTTCATATTAAATCATCATTACTGAAGGAAAAGCTGTTATGAGAACATTCAGAGAAGAACTACTTGAAGAGTGAGAAACACAAAGAACAGTCCATTAGGCAGGGGTTTCCTATGTATTTGAAGCCATGACCAAGATAAATGTGACTTTTCTGCATAACGCTGATCTAAATTTATTGCCTTTTCATTCAGGGATTTGAAAAGGTTTTCTGCCTTGAAGTTTACTGATATTTCAAAATAAGAAAAATGTTCATACCATATGAATTCTAATCTCATGTAGAGAATTGAAAAAGAGATACACAACTTATGTCAACCAAAACCAGCACCTTTTCTAAACCCAGATCCAAGGCAAAGCTGAATATATTTTCTGGAACAGACTGAATAAAAGATGTTACTTTTGGTTACCATGAATTAAATGCTCTTGCTTCACTTAAATTTCCTAATGACCTGCTTTTGGCTTGAAAAAAAAAAAACCTATGCTGATTTATATTTTGTGAAGACCGGTATGTTGTTACAGGTCAAATGCAGATGCTATCACCATCTTCTCAGTAAAAGTCAGGCTTACAAGACTTAATTTCAAATATTTTAATGCCAATTGTTAAAATATACTTAATTCTAAGGGATTTGGGGGTATTTTTATATTTATTAGTTTATTATAAGGTATTAAGGTGGTCTCATGAGCACAGTGAAAAAATTAAAGAACACAGTAAAATGAAACCTACACAGAGAACAATTATTTCTTGGTTTTGGCAAGAACAAAATGACTTTTCGAACTAATTGTGACTATGTGATCTGAGGCTAGAGAAGTGAGGGAAGGGATTTTCTTAAGCACTATATTTAACAAAAGATTAGAGATGAAATAGTAGTAGAAATAAATTCCAGAGCTGAATGACAAAAAATTACTGTTCATTAGGAGGAAGTGAACTCTATGAAATCAACATTACTTTAATCTGTTTTTATATTCAGACTTATGTTACTGTATTATGACAAATTTTTACTAAAGTTTTATTGCTTTGCCATTATATATTTGCATGATACCTGTACTTCAATTATCATCCCTTGCTACTATGTAGAATCCAAGCTGCTTTTATTCTGAAATTACCTTTTTAGTTTAACAATAGTGGCTAAAATAATCAAGATAAAACTTTAAAGACTTTTAGTATGTGCCAGCTGGAGTTTTTGAACCCTGCAATTCAATTTAAATATCAGATTTTGGTCATCTTTCAACTATTTGTTCAGGCAGATCATAAATACATGACACAAATTCTAGGTATGTAAACAACTCATAAGCAGTATGTTAATTAAAAAAAAAAAATCACTTAATGCAAGTGTGTAAGCTTCCCACTGTTTTCATTTAAGCCTGATATATTGAGGTGAAGCAGCTGAGGTAGGTACAACAGCAGAGCTCATCTACCAGATCTGAGAATGTGGAATGTATTTTTGCCACTAACAGAATTTTGCAGTGCTTCAATATGCAGTCCAGTCTGCCTGGTTGAATGTACAAATCTTCACTTTGCAAATCTTTTATGATTTTAGTAGGGCCAGAGGGAACTTCAGGGACCAGTTTGTTGTACTTAGAGCTGCTGTGCTGCTTAGCTACTGATCATGCGTCTGTGTTTTCCCATGTAAAACATATTTTAAAAATTGAGACTTTTTTTTTTTTTTTGCGGGTGGGGGTGTGGGGGTACTGCAACAATGCATATATGCTAGGTCTTTTGTATTTTAAGCTGAGAAACGACAAAAGGCAAGATGGATATTTCAGGATGCCCACAGAAGATAAGGCCTTCAGATTATTTTTTTATTTTAAAATATATGGATCCTGTAGAAGAGGTGGTATTTGTGGTGCACTCTTTGGCAGTCCTGTCCACTGTAAGGGTGAGAAACGACCCCCCTGAATTTTTCAAGTAACCTTTCGTGGATTTAGATGTGGATGTGTAGTCTTTTTATTGCACAATTTGCCAAATGGTGAAATGGCTGCAGCTGCAAATCTTTTTAGATGACTCCCTTGGAGATGAGCATTAATTACCTGAGGCAGATGGAAGAGAGAAGAAAAGGGAAGAAAGGGTGTACAAAAGCTCAGTAGAATTTTTTTTTTTTTTCTTTTTTTTTTTTTTTTTAAAGGGGGGCGGTTTTAAAAAAGCTGTGCGCGCCCCCCCCGGCCGCCTCCCTCAGGGGCCGTGGGATGGCGCCTGCCGGCCGCGCTGCCGCCCCCGGCCCCATCAGACGCCTGTCCCTCTGTCCGTCCTCCCCCACAGCATGGCGCAGCGAAACTGCACAGCTGAACTGTCGAACAGGTGCTATGATGAAATGGGGAAAACCAGGATTTTCTACGGATGCTTAAATGCCAGAAAGTGCTGGCGGCCTGGGCACTGTGCTGTGACAGCGAGCTCTCTGAAGCAGAGGGGCTGAGGGCCGACACCGTGAGGCGGGAGGCCAGGCCCCCGGGGCGGAGTTGTGCCATGGCCGGCGGGCACCGGCCTGTGCTTGCTGCTTGCCTTTCACTGTTTGTAAACATGAGCCTCGATCTGTGGTATGTTTCTTTGTTCTTTTTTTTTTTTTTTTTTTTTTTTTTTTTTTTTTTGTAAAGATGCAAGCTATGTTTTGAGAGCTTTGCATGAAAACCGTCACAGAAGTGAAACATGATTCCCCTTCCTGTAACAAGTTTAACTTGTGTATCCAAGAGGTGGGGGGGTATAATTCAGCATTTTCTGTTACTGCTGTTTTCAGTCATCCTTTCATCCTCATTAGCAAGCTTTGGACAGAAGATGGATGCTTGCCTTCCTCTGAAAATGCTAAATTTTGTGATCATTTGTAACCTAATAAGTAGTGTTTAAAGTAGCTTTAATTTGTAGTAAATATGTGGAATTTAACAAAAGGATTGTTCAAATGCTTTACCAACCTAATTTATATTTTAATTCACTAATTCCGAGTCCTTGTGATATTGATTATGAGTATTTAAATAAATGTTCAGGAAAGCTTCAGGGCAGGATTTTGCTGCTCGCTCAGTAATCCTGAGGCTGCTTAGATTGAAACATGCACAATAGAGTCAAAAGCTACTTTAATTTGATCTGCAGGATTATTTCTCAGAAAGAGACACCCCAGCCAGCACAAGCATTAGAGATGGTGGTGTCCTTTGGTAACCCAGTGCGTTCTCTCTCTCTAGCAACCAGGTTTAGTGAAACTTTATGATACAGTGTTCGTTTGTTTATAAGTAACAGTGGTCCAGCAGGTGGGGGGCAGCTACCTCCATGCCTTGTCCTACCAGTTTTGCCATGTGTGTGTGTTTTCCTGAGGAAGACCAACAGTTTGTGCTTCCAGTGAGAACTCCTGACCAATCTCTGGTGGGAGATGGGGTGGAGGATGCAAGCAGCAGTGTACTGCAGCAAAAGAAGTAGTTAGAAACTCTTGGGGAAGCAATGCAAAACCATGCATAAGCCCCCCAAGGTGAGGGACAAAAAGAAAATGTATTTTAAGGGACTGTGTAGAATGTGCTATAGTTCTGGAAAGGATTAGCAGAAACAGCTTTACAAGTACAAAGTGACCAGATTTGCTTACTGACTATTTTGTTTTAATCTGCTGTGATCAGCATTGCTAAATTTCCTGTGATGGAAATGTTACGCTGTATTAGTCTATTCTAATGCATCTTACTTTAAATAATGGTAGAGTCCTTTGGTGCTCTTTTCCTGTTTTTATTCCAAACAGAAGTTAGGGCAATGCCATTTGCAGAGCTTTGATTGACTTGGGATCCTGTCTATCACTGTGCGAAGGAAGAGTAGTCTCTAATGTTTCACTGTCTCTCAGCTGGGATAGTATCTGTAGCACTCCAACAGAGGAGGAGAATTGTGAAAGCCTGTGTTCTCTAAGGAGCTTGGAAGCGTGTATATTTGATTCCTTTTTCATTTTCAATGGTTCCTTCCCATCCACACACAAATGCACCCCCTTGTGTTTTTTGTATGTATCAAGTTTGGATCTGTTTTCCATATCCTCATTTCTTTTTCCTTTGTACTGGACAAATTTGTTGTACCGATAACTCTCATGCTTAATCTTTGCTAGTTTAATCTTTCTGGAAGCAGAAACCTGTCCTGAACCTCAATTTTATACTGTTATTCTAGTGGTTTTACAGAGATCCTGAGCTAGTGACTTACTGTACTGTGCTGGAAGACCAGCTGCAATTTTTCTGCTCCTCCACATCTAGAACTATGCTGTGGTCACACTGGCCTCTACATCTCCCTCAGCTGTACTGAGTAGCTGAAAGAATTTCCTGGAGATGGTCAGGTCACAAGCATCCATGGGGAAGCCCTGTCTGGCAAATTAGATTGTCATGAACAGAATAAATTGTGTGCCACTTCATCTCTGCTAATGAAATATTTCCAAGCAAGTTTTGCTGCTTTTTTTAGTGATTTTAGTCTCTTAACCCAATCCTGTGGTTTTTTTTCAGTTGTATTTAATGGGAACATAGGAACAAAGCTTGCTTGCCCTAATTCTTGCAAGTCTATTTAAAGCCTAAGAAGGTAAAGAATGTGGTTTGGGATGTGAGGATAGGTGTTTTAGTTTAAACCCCCACGGCCAGTGTGCTTTGTGTTACATAATTCAAATAGTGCCTGTATATTTTGCTACAGCAGAACAAAAGATTCCAGTGTGAAAACAGTTTTCTGGAATCTAAATGCATCTTCCTGTAATGGGGATAGATTTATCACAACACAAGTTACTCCGAAGAGAATGTATACTATTAGCTAGTTTTAGTGGCCGAATTAGCAGTAGACTGACTATATTTCATGTGCAGTGAACTGAGTAATATGTTGAAATGGGCATCATGCTTTGAAAGCTGATTTGGTCCTATAGTGAAATAATTAGAAACAGATATGTTTCACTTGCCTCTGTTTTGTATATGCTGTCATATATACATTTTTAAAATGTATTTTTTATCTTCTTCTCTTAGCCATACCAACATAAATGGACTTAGTTCCACTAAAGTTAGTGCAGCTGTATAGAATCTCACATTTTAGAGGTTCACTGCTGCCTTTTTGATACTTTCCACTGTGCTGCTGACTTCTGTGTCTAGAATCCATACATTTTCTGCAGTGTATCAGTAGTGGATAAGTCTTTAAACGCATCACGCTTATTATAGCTGCTCTGAAAATTTTGTCTTTTTTGAAAGTTTCTGATTAATTTAGATATGGTAGGTCAAAACTACTAATTGCAAACTTTCTGAATCAGCACATCAATAATGATAGTCACTTATGAATATTTAGATGTTAGTGCCATTATGTTGTAAGTCAGAGAAAAGGAGTAGATATTACTTAGCAAATTTTTAAGTTGTAATAATGAGTTTGTTTGTAAATATAGTTTTCTGACAGCTGTTCAAAGGAACTGAATTTTTATAGCAAAAGCTGCATGTAATACAGGTGTGTAACAAAAGCTCATAGAAGGTGGTTCCCTATCTGCTCAAGTTCATCAAGTAAGGTATGAAAATGGCCTGAAACTAATCAGCTACACTGTTTTGGGCAATCCTGAGCATGTTATTTTCTAAGACTGCTCAGTTGCTTCTGTCATGTAGTTTTAGTTGCTAAATCACAGTTCTTTCATGCGTGGATGCTTTGTTTGGTAAAGCAAAGGAGAGTGTAAACTGTAACCTTCATGCCATAGCTCAACTCTTACTTTGTCTAGAGTAGTTTTTCCCTCTCCTAAAACACCAGTTACTCATCCGTGTTAAAGTGATTACCGGGCTTGTCCTTTGGCTCTTTAAAGTATATTGTACAGGCAGTGCTACCTATCACTGAGACCCTATTGATCACATTTACAGACCGCCTTACCCTTGTCTCTTGAGCCATGTTATTTATTTAAAGTTCAGCTCAGCTCGGATTCAGTCACCAAAGTACATGGCCCAGTTTTCAAAATAGTTTGTTTTGGTTTTGTTCTGTTGTTGGAGCCAAGCGTATGGGACGACAACTAGTTCTGGCACACAACGTAAACTTTCAGTAATCCCTAGTTTTTTTCCTCATGTGTTAGAAAAGAGGGAAATAGTTTGGTTTAATTTAAGAGTCTGTCTTTGTGTATGGTCATACTGCATATTGAATTCTTTTGATAATAAACCTTCACTTTGGTGTCTAAAGAGCTGTGAATTCTTTTGAAAATTTGACTGCAGGTACTCTTTAATTAAAGTGTGTAACACTTCCACTGAATTTGCTTCTGATAACTTCTACCCTTAGCCAGTGGTGAATAATTGACTTGTGACAAAAGGCTTCACAATGAATCCTTTTACTATTGAGGAGGATGAAGAATTAGAGTAGTAAGTTGTAGAATATTATGGAAAAGTAGGAGCATGGCATTCCACAAGTAAATGGCTGGATATAGGACAGTTTTCCTGGCTGTTTTTATCTGTCTGTGGGAGATTGAGAAAAGTTTTTCAGCAGTGTGCGGAAGTGACTGGGAGGCTTCTGGTGCGCTGGAAATCACAATTTGTTCATCTCAATATAATGCTAAAAGCTGAAGCAATCAATGAGAAGCGGATATATTGTTCATGGGGTTTCTTTGTTTCTCTCAAGAAATTGAAGTACCAATCTTTCACATATGAAGTCCCTTTATAATGCTTTGATAGGTTACATTTTTTCATAATTGAAACTGGTATGGACACTGAACAGGTATAGACATCATGCTTAATTTTGGGATTTTTTTAAGACTATTTTTAGTTACCTAATGTGCATAGTTTAGTCTATAAATTATTTTCAAGTGATGTAGAAATCATCTTACTATGTGTTTTGAAGGGAGGGCTAAGGCTTTATCTTCAAAAGTAGTTGGACATTTTACCGCCTGTTTTCCTGTTTAGTCAGTGAGGTTTAAGCTCCCTTTTATTGCCCATACTGAAGTGACCTGCTGTGGAAAGTCTTTAGGAGAGCAATGACACTTATATCCAATCAGTTCTGTCATCTTTTTACTGTTTGTCCACTAAGACTCCCAGATAGAACCATTTTTCTACAAAACAATTGAGAATTGGTTTGTGTGTAAAGAACACAGCTCACCTGGGTAGGAGTTGGGAAACTGTTTGTATTTGCATTTGTAGACTAATGGTACCACTTTAAAGATTTGTGCTTTAGGAAGAAATTGCATATAAATTGAAAAATCTATGTCCCTTAGAAACATCACATGAGTTAGGAAGGAGTCCAACTGTATATAACCATTTGCTGTGCAGATAGATATTCAGTTCTAATTATAAAACATTAGCTTAATCCTGTGCAGATCAAATTCAGAAGTCAATTTCCATAGTACATGACTAGAAAAAAAATTCAGCAAAGCCATACAAATCAGCTTTCTTTTAAGGTAAGTAGTTTTCTGCTACTTTAGGTGAAATTTCATTAAATTCATTCTGGATTTTTAAGTACTGGTGTGGCAAACAGTTTTTCACCAGCAGTTTGACAATGTTTGCTATAAAATTTGTCCATAATCCGTACCATGTAAGTACACAGTGATGTTAGAAGTTTTTTCCTTGGTCTAGTGTGTCCAATGGAGAGTGCAGACTTCACACTAATATAA